AGTTTGAGTCTTGGCTATAACCATAGTGTATCACTTGGGCTATGTACATAAGCATAAGATGAATATCAGGTGCTGAATAAACTATGCATTATTATTAATATATTGTAGTTGTCTTGGTAAGCTCCCATGCCTGGGCAAACACCCACCTCCCAATTTTGATACAATAAAGAAATTGAGGTCATGTCCAGGCATACGCCCAGGTGGTCTTTTTTTTACACTTGTAATAAAAAAAAATAAAAATAATATATTTTTTGTTCGTTGTATTAACAACGTTGTGATTCTGATAAAAATTCTTGAAAAATAAATGTCAATTGTGTAAAACGATGGAACGCGAATTATTACAGTATTGAGAGCTGCACTCGTATGGCTTTAGCGTCATGAACAATGTTGCAATGTTGTAGCAACTCGTACCTGGGAGAGTGGTTGAAATCATGTTGTTTTGGCTTTCTAAAATATTTGGTAGCAGCTTGCAAATCCATAACTGGGGCCAGCAATTTTGCAATGTCACACCGATGACTTGAACTCTATGATGAAACAGTAGTAGTATAGTGATGTCATTCTAAGCCAATAGTAAAGCAGATGCTAAAAGGTCAAAGATGATAGAACAGAGTCGTTTGCATGCGACCCCATTTTTCTTGTCTCTTTATTGTAATTAGAAATGCCAAGCTGACAGACAGCCAAATCAGTGAATTAAAAGTGCTAAAACCAAATTCATTCAACAAATTCATCAACAAACTTCAGGACAAAGCTATAGGGATTTTGTTGGATGGCGACAGTGTGTAAGTGACTTAGACTTGGCCTTTGACGAAGATGGCAATGAACGTGCAAATAGAGATCTGAGAAGTTTTTTCAAACAACTATGAAGTTTCGTAACTTTTATTGAGTAAATTCGTAAATTATCATATACCTCGTATTGCCCGGCCTCGTAACGCTATGGGAATCCTGATGCAGTGAGCCGTGTAATAATTTTCCATATCATCCCCCGACCCTGTTTACCATATTTGGTAAACGCGTCTGTTTCCTGGAACTACTTTGTGTTTACAAACAACGCGCGTAATTTGAGTCTGCGCTTCGATAATGGCTGACGATATTATTCAGTGGATGGAAATATACCGAAAAGACCAGTTGGACTGATGGACTCATTATTACCCTGACAAAAGCCGGCATTCCACCACAATCAATCATAAAGATAAATGGTCACAAAAACGTGTCAAGTTTACAGTTTACAGCACTACGATACTCAGTCAGTTGGCATCGGTTTCGCTGGATACACCCAAAAATACCGATGCCAGCTGACTGCGATGATACTGCCTCCACGGAAGATCATCGGCGCATTTCTTAGTTGAGATACGCCAGAATCTAGAACTGTAAACCAAACTGCTTCTTGTCAAGCAATTATTTCTCATTCACCGACTACAGTTTTTAACAACTGTGAAATCAACGTGTCTCTACCTGCGGCTACAACACCAGCTCCAAGAAATCGTCCGTTGTCGGACGGTCAGTAAATGACCAACTTAGCTGGACTGTGTAGTTTTCATTCTTGAGAAAGAAACTTTATAATGAGTTCATTTTATTTACGTTAAAATATTGTTATAAATTTACGTTCATTTGCTGTTTCATTAAAACGTAATTTGTAGATATATTCGTTTATTTGGTGACATTGTGTGAGAGTTGTTGACGCGTTTGCATCGTACGGCTTACGCGCCCTCGCAATCTCGGGCGCTTCCGTCGCACAACCTCGGGCCGCAAAAGCCATATCCAGTCCATAAAGAATATTATCATTGTTCTTGACTGTATGACTGTGGAATCGGTATTTGTCAAAACAGGAAATAATTTTACGCTTTTCCATGCTCAGGACCCTTTGCGCTTACCTGGACAACTATAGTAAAATGATAAAGGAAGCTAGTTGAAGTTGTTGAACCAATGATCTAGCTTTACAAATCATGAGTACAAATTCTAGCATAGACTGAATGGGGAGGCCAACATTACAGATCCATATGCTAATGAATGCTATTTTGGGTAGGGTGCAGTGGTGGTTGAGAGATATCGATTGACGCTCTTGAAAATGACTATCATGAACTCAAATTTATGGCCAATGCAATGTCCAAGAATTTCAATTGATAATTCTCTATTGATTCAGTGTAAGGTAATGATTTAAAAGAGTAAAATGTATGGTTACCACTTGTGCAAAAATACAGATCAGCAAAAACAACTGTTACAGTAATTAACTGACACTACTGATAAAAAACAGGCAGCCTTTTGGCATAGATAGTTCTGCTGTAAGTTAGCTGTTAGATAAGTCCACTCCAGATATTATATCAAACCAGAGGTACATTACTTTGGGTTTGCAATGCACATAGTACTGTATGGTAACATCATGCCAAGATCCCATTCAAGTCTCATCTCGTAGATAGCGAGACTAAGGCTACATAAATATGTATTACCACATTCATAGTGAAAAAATGTAATACATTGAAAATGTACAGAAAATATAGTTATCGTAATTCGTCATACCGTGAGCAGCTATTTTGATTCACCTGGACATCCCAGTATCTTAGTTACCTCGGGCATTCACATTTTTCTGAGTTGCAATGCTTATGCGAGAGCGAGATTGAAACAGGATCTTGGTATCATGTCACCGTAGTTGCAAACCTCAAGTAATGTACACGTACCTCTGATCAAACTTAGAGAATATTCATCAAAATTATAAAATAAAGATATCTTCACAGAATGAATAAATCTGAGAGTCCACCTGTTCAAATATCAAAGCAATGAGACTTTGGGTTTACGACAAGAAGTCAAAAATTTTACTTTTTAGCAAAAACAATAAAAATATTCATTATAATTATTGAAGATAATTGAAGATATCATCAAAAAATGAACAAATCAAAAAAAAATCCAACCAAGGTACATTCAATATCAAAGCAATTGGACTTGCAGTTTTCAAAAATATCAAAACTAGAGAATTAAAGATGTCATCATGAATTGTACAAATCTAAGACAAAGTAGGAAAACGTCAAATGTTGATGGAGACCAAGGTCAATCAGTATTATGATTACTGGTAGCTCCCCTTGATGAAGTTGATAGTGGAGCTAAAAAAGGACTCCAGGGTATTACATAATGATGGATTGAATTGCATATAATTCATTAAAATTGAAGGCAGTACTCACCTGCCCTGGGTAAAGCAGTAATCCAGGAGGCTTTAGGAGAAACATATTAATGATAGTAATGAGGAGACTAGGTGCTTGGGATGACGATTCAGCATCAAAAATGAACCATTTCATGAAAATCATAATGACAAGGTATCCAAACATACACATCAGAAATAGCACTTGTGGAATAAATTCGCATATTATGTTCAACGGTCTGTGGAAATAACTGCAAAAACAAATTAATTAAAGTTAAACTGTAAATAGCTTCCATGTGATCAGAGCAAGTATTATAAAAGTATAGGTTTTGCATAATAAGTGAATGTAATATCATGTAGGTTGATCAATACTTTTACCAAATATCAATAAAATTGATCAAGATGTCCGAGAATCTATGACATGGAAACACTAGATTTTGTTTGATATGAGCATTTTGAAAAACATATGAGGACACTATACTTGTAAACAAAGAGCACTGTGAAAGTTAATTGTAATAGAGACAAAATCTAAAAGATCACTTTAAAAAGAACAAAAAATATTAAACATGTGAGGGCGCTATCACTGTAAAAACAGCTGCTTGTATAGAGATAATGCAAAATTTATTCATTTCAAGTTAATTTTTACAGAGACTTGGGCTACATCTAGTATTTTGTGATATTTGTGACACCACCTGTTTGATTTTAATTGTTTGATTTTTATTGCAGCAGTTGAATGTTTTCTCAAGAGCATTGTTGGGGATATTGGCAGCTAAGTGTCAACCTTCAGTACACTCTCGATCTGCATATAGTGGTAAAATATAGATTTTCATTATATAATGAATAAAGTGACTCTTAAATATCTCACAGGTTCTCTTATTACAATCAATTTGCAAATAGGAATGATTTTCTCATATTTTGGCCAGAAAACTGGCCATCCCAGGTCTAACGAGCACCTGTGATTCCACCGGCTTCGCTCAGATTTTACCAAACCTAACTACATTTGTGCCTGGTATTTTTATTAACTCAAATACATCAGTGTTCTTTCCAGACTCCATCCAAGCATCATGGCTAATATGCATAACAACACATCTAATTTGCATAATTTATTTGCAAAATAATTAGTTTGAGATATAGTAACTACAATAAAGAAGAGATATTTTCATAGCTCATATATTTTATATCATTTTTATATCACTTCATTGTATTTTATGTGTGCATCAAGTCAAATAAAGTTTGAAATAGAACAGCAAAAAATATATTGTTATCCATGGAGGTAACTGGTTATCATTATTTTGTGTATAACAAGTACAGTCAGTGTTAGTGCCCATGTCAATGTCAGTTTATATGACATGGAGAAAAACATTTTTTGGTTAAATTTGTAAAGTCTGCCAGATTGCGGGTTATCAAAATATGACTTAGAAATTAATAAATCTATAATGACATATTTGTCTACAACGGCAGCTCAAGTCAGCGATTTTTCAGTGATCTATCTATACCTTATGCTGCGATCACCACAGATATTCACTACTGCTGTTGCGATCATTGGTCCCTGACATTTTGGTTTAAAAATATACAAATTTATAATGTTTTGTTAATTAAAATGATCACATCAAAATCGCAAACGACATGTTGTTTTTGAACATCATGTAAAAACATGCACTTTGTGCGGCCATCATTGTTACCTCGATCAGAATCCCCCTTGTAACCTCAGTCGCGATGTCATAACAAGCGTTGCGTCGCTTCAGTGGCGTTCCTCAGTAATAAGGTATTTCTGGAGGTCAGGGTTCGTGTTTTTTTGTTTTTTTCGGCCGTCTCGTCTGCAGTTGAATAATTTTTGCTTTGATTTATTTACATTTTTGTTCCCAATGCGACTTAATTTCACTTGTTTTTTTGAATTCTTGGTAATTAGTGTCACCGGCAATGGAGTAGTAAAAACCGCAATTAATCGCAGTGCAGCAAATCAGGATAGATTTTCCCGACACAATGGGCAAATTATTACTTTGCAGGCCCCGCTCCCTCAAAAGACTTCTTGTAGACTTCCGTTTTATCACTATTTTTTGTATGGCTAACAAAGGCAAGATTATCTTTCGATCAATACATGTTATTGTTTTAAAGGGGCTGACATTTGTAAACAATACAACAACTTAAGCATCACGGACAGGATTCCAAGAATCGTGGGCGAATTAAAAGCATTTGTCTAAGCGACACGCCCCGCAGTGCTTGAAAGGCCTGAGGAGAACACTGTGTTTTAAGTCACTGTATCTGCTTAAATAACATCCATCATGACATATTAAATCATTATATACTAAAACTCACTACCTTCTAATGAAATATTACCAGTATTTTTGCGACAGAATATGTTATCACAATATGCAAATTAGACTACTCACCCAAGTCAAATATTTGTTCAGAAATTTCAAAGACCACCTAGTTATAAATTAATTAATGATGCAATAATAAATTAGCTAATTAATATGCATGGAATTGCACAAAAATCTATTAAGCACATCTACTCATCATATATTAGCTGTGTGCCAAATTTCATTTGAATTCTAGATCTTGAGTTATCAGTGGAACAAATTTTAGTCACAGTCACAGACACCGGTAACACATAACTTTCGTTTCATGGGACTTAAAAATTCAGCATTATAGTTTCTATACAGCTCTTAATCATGTGACCCAATGTACAACTGCAGCTACTGAGCACTTGATAATTTGACTTACGTATGATTGAGAAGACTTAAACACACACCAAACATCATGTGCATGACACCGAATATGACTGATAATTTCATCTTGAAAGAGTTGGTATATGTCAGTTCATTTGATGCCTGTCTCCAGATCTAGGGAAGAAAAGAACATAATTTTGAAATATCATATAATCATTCTTTATTTAAAATACACAAAGGGCTGAATAGGCCATAGTGAAATGTACAGAATAGGCCACAGTAAAATGTACTGAATAGGCCATAATGGAATGTACTGAATAGGCCAGTGAAATGTACTGAAAAGGTCACAGTGAAATGTACTGAATAGGCCATAAGTGAAATGTACTGAATAGGCCATAGTGAAATGTACTGAATAGGCCATAGTAAAATGTACTGAATAGGCCATAATGGAATGTACTGAATAGGCAACAGTGAAATGTACTGAATAGGCCATAGTGAAATGTACTGAATAGGTCACAGTGAAATGTACTGAATAGGCCACAGTGAAATGTACTGAATAGGCCACAGTGAAATGTACTGAAAAGGCCACAGTGAAATGTACTGAATAGGCCACAATGAATGTACAGAATAGGCCACAGTGAAATGTACTGAAAAGGCCACAGTGAAATGTACTGAATAGGCCATAGTGAAATGTACAGAATAGGCCATAGTGAAATGTACTGAATAGGCCATAGTGAAATGTACTGAATAGGCCATAGTGAAATGTACTGAATAGGCCATAGTGGAATGTACTGAATAGGCCACAGTGGAATGTACTGAATAGGCCATAATGGAATGTACTGAATAGGCCATAGTGAAATGTACTGAAAAGGCCATAGTGAAATGTACTGAATAGGCCACAGTGAAATGTACTGAATAGGCCACAGTGAAATGTACTGAATAGGCCACAGTGAAATGTACTGAATAGGCCATAGTGAAATGTACTGAATAGGCCATAGTGAAATGTATAGAATAGGCCATAGTGGAATGTACTGAATAGGCCATAGTGGAATGTACTGAATAGGCCACAGTGAAATGTACTGAAAAGGCCACAGTGAAATGTACAGAATAGGCCACAGTGAAATGTACTGAATATGCCAGAGTGAAATGTACTGAATAGGCCATAGTGAAATGTATAGAATAGGCCATAGTGGAATGCACTGAATAGGCCATAATGGAATGTACTGAATAGGCCACAGTGAAATGTACTGAAAAGGCCATAGTGAAATGTACTGAAAAGGCCATAGTGAAATGTACTGAATAGGCCATAGTGAAATGTACTGAATAGGCCATAGTGAAATGTACTGAATAGGCCATAGTGAAATGTACTGAATAGGCCATAGTGAAAT